AGTATTTGAGATGTGCTATAAAGAAATTTAGAACTCTTCAGGTATTTTCACTTTGGGAATTCATGTAATTGTTATGTTTCCATGCATAATCATTGTTTTAATTCATTTGCTTTACTGTAAATATTTCATATCTGAATTGAATAGATACCACTTCAAACTGTATAATGGTGTATTTGATTGTAATACTGACTGGAAAAAGAATTTAGAATATTTAAACTGTACACTATAAGATTAAAAACTCAACAAAAGCAAGAAAAAGCAGCAACTGAAGATTAAAAATCACAGCAGCATTATTATTAAACAACTTGAGAGAATAAAAATGTGACTGGTGCCAGAAACAAAATAAAAATAGTTGCAAATGGACCTCATTGGAGAGGGCATTCCAAAGTTGGAGGGCAGCTGAAAGTTCCTGCTGCCATATAGCAACCTGCCATACATCAGCATGGGAGGGCATCTGGAGCAAATCCTCTGATGATTAGACTGAGATTTCTGCAGTACAGAAATATAATGTTGAGTACACTGAGTAATATTCCAAGTAAATGATTTCAACTTATTTTCAGTATTTGTTGCATTTTGTGTCTACATGAATGTGGCCCACCGATTGTTGCATTTGTCTATATATATGGCCCCCATATTCATTTGAGATTGAGACCACTGATTTAGAAAATCTGTTTCATCTAAGATTGCCTGGATCTGATCAGTTACACATTCTTAGGCTCCATGGCCAAAAGGGAGATAATGGCCACTGGCCTGTAATTATTTATTGCTCTTTTCAGGAGAACTTCTATTATAGCCTCTTTAAATAAGGATGGGATCAGTCCTTATAAAATTTTGATAGTATATGCTAATTTGAGCATCCTACTAGATATAATAAGCCTTAAGGGTAAAGATTCAAGGAGATAATGCAATTCACTGAATTCACCCAAGCACCATGTCTGCATCATCAGGCCTTAAAACCTGAAACTCATCCAAAGAAGTCTGACCTGATGGAGCCATGAACATTTTGCAGATTGAATTGCTGAAACTATGGTATTAGATTTGGTTGATTGGTCAACTGTTTAACAATATAAAATGAAATAGTAATTAAATACACACACACACACAGTGAACACAAAAAACACAGAAGTGTTATAAAACCATATTCAACCAGTCAGTAAGGTGACCTAAGAAAATAAAAAGAGGGTGTCCAGGTGCAGAGAAGAAAGAAAAATAGCACCAGTTAAGTATTTTAAATGCAAGATACTTCAGTGGAAAACTTACTTTCCTTTGTTGGTGGTAGTTTATCTTGTTGAGGTGAACTAGGTGCATGGTGAAAGTCCTTAGAAAATGATGATAGTATATGTCAGATTCATTTGGGGGAGATGTTTCTTCATGTGTTTATGCTTTAAGCTATATGTAGCTTTACTTTAAATGTATCAGCACTTTGAATTGTGTTCAGGGAAACTGTTAGGTGATTTTAGTAGCAGAGTAATAGTTTTTAAAGGTGATATTGGGGTAGTTGAACCTGGATTTTATTACAGGATAGGTAACTATGGCTAAATTATCCCTGTTCAACAGGGTCTCAAATTGTGAATTTGATGAAAGGCATTCTGCTGCAGATGTTTTTTTTTTCCCCTAAATTTCTTCTAATCTTCGGTACATTTTTTAGCATTAGCACAGTGAAGCTGAGTGCTAGGCATTTGAAGTTCTTTTGGCAGTTTGTTACAGCTTCTGCTGCTGCTACTTGTAAATATTTAGCAATTCCTTATGTGTCACTTGGTTCAATAAAGAATTATTGTGCAAACATGTATGATGGAATCACTGTTAATATTAATATAACTATCAAAATAATTTTGCCTTCTCTTCTAGATGATTAGTACAGTTCTTTTTTTCCCTTTTTTTTCAACCATTTTCCATTTAGTAGACTGTATTCATTCTGTTGGTAAACTTCAGTGACTGAATGATACTGATAAAGTGTGAATTCTCCACCATACAAACAGAATATTCATTTCATGAATGAAAAAAAGGGATTTTCCATACATTGCTTATTGCTATAATCTATTGCTTTTTATAACAAATTTATCTAGGCCTATTTCTACATGATGGAATTTCTATTTTTTTTCTTTTGCCACTTGAGATATACTAGATCTTTGGAGCGTTTATGATATGGCCAGAATACTACAATGGTGTATCATTGACAGTGATGATGCCATTAAGACAATGCAGATGACATCCTTTAGAAGTGCATAATATAGACACTACTAACACATTTTGATAAATGTGAAATGGTAAAAGGAATATATACCTATTTTATTCAAGTGCATTACATGACTTAATATTATAACAACTGCATATTTCTTGATGGTGAAAATTCCAGTATAACTTCAGAAACCCATCCATAAATTGTATATGGGTTTGGGAACATTAAATCATATGTGGAGTCTTTGGTGCTCTCTGAGCTTGGTTGTTTGCTTGCAGACATTTCATTACCCAACTAGGTAACATCATCAGCGCTGCTGAGTGTGAGGGTTTTCTCCCTGTTTATATACAGTAGCTTG